AATTAATCGAAAACGTTCGTTCGCCTATCTTGACTTTGACAGCATGTCTTGATTTTATGCATGGAATTCGGAAGCCTTGAGGGAGCATTCAGGCCGAATACCAAAGAAAGATCATGAAAACAGCTAATCAGGTTTTGTTAAAGATGATATTGTTATTCTAGGATTCACCTGAGGATGCATACTAAGGCAGTACAGCGTCTATCCGGATTAAAATCAGTATGCTTTTCCACCGTATTTTGAAGCCTTTTCTAAAGGAAAACCGTTTAACTGGATCCTCGAAAATATGGTCGCGCCAGTATCCAACATGCTGTCGACTCAGTGGTCGCCCTATTTAATCTGTTTTGGGGCAGTTTTAGTGTGTCCCTCTACCGCAATATATCCTGAAGATGTTCAAAGGCAATATCAGGTTAACTAAACAAAACTAGCAGTCTGACTTTAGCTGAGGCTCTGTTATTACGAAGAGGGCAGGTTTCGGCGCAAATTTCTGCAGCGGATATAGGCGCATGGCTTCATTTATCAGGAGGGGGAGGGTTTTGCAGGAGTCAGTTGTCGTATAAGTCACGCAGGACTCACTCATAGATGGCGAGTTGAGTACTTCTAAAATGTTCTTTTGCCAGCACTGCAATAAATCATTTAGTGGCACCATGCGATAGCTCGCTGTCATCTTGAACGTCTAACTGACTGCTCTACTGACCTCCATTAAATGCCGAAAAACGGAACAAACCCTTTTATATCGCCAACTGTGCAGTCTCGACCTAATTCAGGTGCTGGGTTCTGCCAAGATGGGTTATGATAGGCTCTTAATGTCCATCTTGTCGGTCGGCATAACACTCTAAATGTTGCGACATCGGCGATCCGAGCGCTCAGCGCATCCGTTGATTGTACGATTTTGTACTTATATCCAGTCTTGGGATTTGCGCCGAGACCTTAACGATATAGTTCATAAAGCAGTTTCCTTCTTTACTCACTCCTGAACAGCATAATTATCCGGCAGTGCAGAGACTTTGGCAACTTTATAATGAAGAAGGTTGGCTGTCTCATTAGATTTGTGTTGCTGTACATTTAGCCTTCGAGGGGGAATGGCTTTTATGAGAACTCCGAGATGTTTGCGGATTAGTGCTTGAACTATGCCTGTAACCCGTCTGGGTCTGACGCACTGAGAGGTAGTCGGGCATGCTGCTGGCACGCCTTAGTGTTATCAATTTACACAGAACTACTTTTGCGATTTGAATGCCAAGTCGGCAGATGTTTTTTGGATGTTGAAGCTCTGTGTTAAAAGTAGTGCTGGGGCGCTAACCGACCGCGTTGCGAGACATAATGGTTTTCATTGATGAACATTCATCTGACCACTGACGAAAATCATCTGCCTCGCTCTGCCTAGGGTCTCGACAGAGGCCATGTCAGCCGTAATAACTAAACGTTCATCAATGAGTGTCAATGTCCCCTGACGTGAACCGGTTAGACAACGAGCTCCTGGCTCAATGGTTAGGGCGTTTGACTCTGATCAAGAGGGTTGCGAGTTCGAGGCTCGGGAAGGACACCACTTGAGTCTGGGTATGATTGGCTGATGATG